TAACCAAGAATTGAGTGAGTAATCAAGATCCAAAGCTTGCTTCTCAATTTGAAAGAAAAAGGAAAAGGAAATGAGAGAGAGAGAAAAGCCACGGGGAGAGAGAAAAATGGGTGAGAGTTGTGGTCTCTAGACCACTTAGAGGTGTGAGTGGTGGGCCCTACAATTTTATTTTCTTTTCCTTTTTTCTTTATTCTTTTATTTTATACCTCATACACATAAATGCACCACATACAAATACCACTTAACCCACATAAATTAAAATGCACAAATGCAATTGGGCTCTACTACAATCCCTGCACACAAGACGTGAAAAGACAAAAATGCCCTTGCGGCGACAGAATCTCCGGAAAAATGAAAAATGCCAAAAATTGGAAACGTGACATGGAACATAAGGGTTTTTTGGAAAGTTGATTTTTTTAAAAAAATTACTTAAGAATGGAATGGCTATTTCATAGGTTTAGTTGTGGAATGGATTTTCATTCCAATGGAATGGTCATTCCCACTTTAAATTGCATGCCAAACAAATGAATGGTTGGAATGGGTATTCTATTTTATTTCATTCTTGCACACCAAACGTAGCATTAGTGAAAATCGAGAAAGATCTCTCACGCACACAAGTTAGTCCCGATTTCAAAAAATTCTAAAATCCATCCCGTAAATTCTAACATACTTAAAATAAATTAAATGCATTCCCAAAACTCCCGAGCTTATGAAAATGTCCCAAACGACCCTCGGGACCCATGTGGCACGCAAAACGAGGTACAAAAATAAATAAAAGAAAAATTACTGAAAAATCCAAAAAAATCTGGGATATTACAATTTTTCCCCATCGATTTGTTGATTTTCACCAATTAGGATTTTCTCACTAAAAACCTAGTGTCATGTCTCAAACTTTACTTTACTTGATTTACGTTACTATTATTATTTTGTGGTTGTGGGTGTGTTTTATTGATAAACATTGTGAGTATTTAATCAAGCACAAAAATTGGATAACATGACATATGCACCCCCTTCTAGATCATTAGAGTATTGTTTCACATTTAATCAACATAATAACTTCGACACCATGCTACTCACATATATGTAGTATGTCCTCTCCATATCTTCACAGGGGAGTTTAAAAAATTTAGTCCTAAGGAGACAAGTATCTGAATATATTTACTTATTCATAAATAAATAAAAAACCCTCAAGGTTGTTGAACATAAACTTCTTCTATCTATTCTGCATGCAAATAACAGATCAAGGCAATGAGAGCTCTAATTATGCCTAAACAAGAAAAGTGTGCAAAGATTCTTTGAAAATCGACTTTAGATTGTTGAGAATAACATTTTGCAACCAACCTATTATTTCTCTTTACTAAACAATATGAATTTAATTTCACCATGTCAATCCATTTTACCCCAATAACTTCCCATTTTTTGTGTACTTTCAACAAATTCCCACATATTGTTCTTTTCAATTACTTAAATTTCTTGTTCCATTGCTTTTCTTGATTCTCCTTGCTTGAAGAACTTTCAGGTTCCACCTAATGAAAATTACACCTCATAGACTTCACTTAAAATTCCTTATTTCTTTAGAGCTGAGCTTGGTGAGGACAGGGCTTAAATTACTTGGACTTGGTTGCAACATACTAGGAGATGATAATAATTGACTTTCTTTTGTAGATGATTGAGGTGAGTCTTCACCATTTTCCTCTTCCTAAGTCGATTTTGACAAAACTAAGCTTGCTTTATCCAATTTAATTACCCCAATTTCATGAAACATTTTTTATCAAATAACATATCCCAACAGTTAATGACCTATTTTCAAAAATTATATAATCTGTAGCCTTTAAATTCTGTTTTATCTTCTTTCCTTACGAAGACATATTTATATAAGATACACAATCAATGACTTTAAGGTGGGAATTTGATTCCAAACAGCTTGGTAGGAAAACGTATTAATCAAATACAGTGTATAAACAACTTTCGTTCAAACAACATTGATTTCTTCAATATTCCATCAACAATTTATTCTTAATTCCTATTATATGCTCTGTTTTGTCATGGAGTGTAACCTGTTGTTAGCTGTCTTTCAGTGTCTTAATCAAAATTTAACAAACTCCTTAGCGTCAGAACTCTTTTCCTCTTGAACTTTTTAAAATTGAAAAAGCTTCTCATCTTTTCTCTATGGAATACACCTTAAATAGAAGTGTTTCCAATGGTCCACACAAACATCCTAATGAAGTAGCCATAATACTTCATTACCCCTTCAAGCAATTCCCTTCGAGAAAAGACCAATTAGGAATATGATGCCTTCAAAGTGTACACCACTCCTCACCCCATCCTGAAATTGGTCGACATCCGAATGGCCTTCTTTTGATCATGTTACTTGAAGGTTGCGAACATTTGACTGATTTCAACACTATAAATGTCTCCTTTTGATCATGTAACTTGGAAGGTTGAGAACATTTGACTGATTTCAACATTAGAATATCCTTCTTTTGATCATGTAACTCTGAAGGTTGAGAACATTTGACTGATTTCAACATTAGAATGGCCTTCTTTTGATCTTGTAACTTGAAGGTTGGGAACAATTTGACTGATTTCAACACTCGAATGCGTTCTTTTGATCATGTAACTTGAGGTTACGAACATTTGACTGATTTCAGTATTAGAAAGGCCTTCTTTTGATCATGTAACTTGAAGGTTACGAACATTTGACTGATTTCAGTATTAGAAAGGCCTTCTTTTGATCATGTAACTTGAAGGTTGGAACCATTTGACTGATTTCAGCACTAGAATGGCCTTCTTTTGATCATGTAACTTGAAGGTTACAAACATTTGACTGATTTCAACATTAGAATGGACTTCTTTTGATCATGTAATTTGAAGGTTGGGAACATTTGACTGATTTCAGCATTAGAAAGGCCTTTTGATCATGTGACTTAAAGGTTGAGAACATTTGAATGATTTCAACATTAGAATGGCCTCTTTTGATCATGCAACTTGAAGGTTGGGAACATTTGACTGATTCCTCTTTTGATCTTGTAACTTGAAGGTTGAGAAATTTTGACTGATTTAAAACAACATTAGAAAGGCCTTTTGATCATGTAACTTGAAGGTTGCGAACATTTTGACTGATTTCAACATTAGAAAGGCCTTCTTTTTATCATGTAAGGTGAAGATTGAGAACATTTGACTGATTTCAACATTGGAAAAGCCTTCTTTTGATCATGTAACTTGAACTTGAAGCTTAAGAACATTTGACAGATTTCAAGGAAGGCCTTCTTTTGATCATGTCACTTGTAGGTCGCGAACATTTTGACTGATTTCAACATTACAAAGGCCTTCTTTTGATCATGTACATTGAAGGTTGAGAACATTTGACCGGTTTCAACATTAGAAAAACCTTCTTTTGATCATGTAACTTGAACTTGAATGTTAAGAACATTTGACAGATTTCAAGGAAGGCCTTCTTTTGATTTCAACATTGGAAAAGCCTTCTTTTGATCATGTAACTTGAACTTGAAGCTTAAGAACATTTGACAGATTTCAAGGAAGGCCTTCTTTTGATCATGTAACTTGTAGGTCGCGAACATTTGACTGATTTCAACATTAGGAAGGCCTTCTTTTGATCATGTAACTTGAAGGTTGCGAACATTTGACTGATTTCAACATTAGGAAGGCCTTCGTTTGATCATCTAACTTAAAGGTTGCGAACAATTGACAGATTTCAAGGAAGGCGTTCTTTTGATCATGTAGCTTGTAGATGGCGAACATTTGACTGATTTCAACATTAGGAAGGCCTTCTTTTGATCATGTAACTAGAAGGTAGCGAACATTTGACTGATTTCAACATTGGAAAAGCCTTCCTTTGATCATGTAACTTGAAGCTTAAGAACATTAGACAAATTTCAAGGCAGGCCTTCTTTTGATCATGTCACTTGTAGGTCGCGAACATTTTGACTGATTTTAACATTACAAAGGCCTTCTTTTGATCATGTAGATTGAAGGTTGAGAACATTTTGACCGGTTTCAACATTAGAAAAACCTTCTTTTGATCATGTAACTCGAAGGTTAAGAACATTTGACAGATTTCAAGGAAGGCCTTCTTTTGATCATGTAACTTGTAGGTCGAGAACATTTGACTGATTTCAACATTAGAAAGGCCTTCTCTTGATCATGTAACTTGAAGGTTGCGAACATTCGACTGATTTCAACATCCGAAAAACATTTTGACCATGTAACTTGAAGGTTGTGGACATTTGACCCTTCAACATCCGAAAACAACTACCTCCCAAAAAAAATAAAAAATGCAAAAAATAACTTGAGACTATGAAAATTCAAATGTCTAAGTATTCCATGCCAGAGTCATGACTCACTTCTATAATGAACAATGCAGCTATTAGCCTCAAAGTGAACTATAATATCCATGTTTCATAAGTTGTCCAACACTAAGCAAGTTTTGCTCAAAATGAATAAACTTAGTCCATCTTCTAGTTTCAAATTGGAGATCAATTTATTAATCACAAGTTGTAGTTACTAGCTCGTACGAATATGTGATTTTAAGTGTCACTTAAAGCGTGTGAAATTCCAAAGCTGACACACAATTGTGTGATGAGCACTAAGACATGTAAACAAGCTTTTTTTACTCAAGAACCGTGTGGGACATATATGCATCCCACTAATAAGTTTGACAATATATATATATATATATATATATATATATATATATATTTGTTGGTGTGTGTGTGTGTGTGTGTGTGTGTGTTTGTCTGTGATAATGTAATATTGTAATGCTTTTGTTTAAGCAAGTCAAGGAAAAGAGAAGTAAGCTGGCGTGTGAAAGTGAAGTATGGTAGAAAGGGTACGGTTGATATTGGAATTGAGGATATGTTCCTTCATATATATTCCTCCACTTTGGACGTGGCTCTTATTTCCTCTCTTTCTTTGTGAAGGAAAAGCCAAACCTCAAGTGAAATATTCTTTAGTGAAGCAAAAGCCAAACAACCCTTTTTCCTCCCTATAAAATGGCACTCATACACTCCTTCCGTGCATACAACACTTCACTCTATCAACTAGCTAGAGGAAAGGGCAAAAAGGGAAAAAGAAAGACTTTGGAAATGAGCACCAAAACCTTTCAAGGCTCTAAGAAATATGAATTGGACTGTCAATTCCTCCACAGTTACCTTTCAGGTAATGCCTTGATCTTTTATCGTCTTTTAATTTGGTTTTATAACTGCTGATAAGGGGCTAGTCCAGTGCACGAGGCGACTGTCACTGTAGGGTCTTGGGAGGGTTAAACCATTGATCTTCAGGTTATAATAGAGTAACTTTACCGTTATGTCAAAGCATGTCCTTGTAACTGTTCATATTAGATGGAAATTCAATTCATGTCTCGATTCTAATGGTGATGAATAAACAGACAACGTCGTGAACAAGCAAAAGCTTGCAGAGATCCTTATGAGCAGAAATTTGAACGAGTTCAAGCTCATTTGTCAAGCATATACCGTGCTATACAATCAAGATCTTCTTCGAGTTCTCAAAAAAACTCAAAAGAACAACCTGTATTCTGTAAGTCTTTTTTGCTTCTTAACATATGATGATGTGATTTGAGTATCAAAGTGAAAATTAATTTAGATTCTTGTGTGTGTAGAGGGCAGTTTATCTTCGAATGAGTGAACCACAAGAGCGCGACGCAGAGACAATGAGAAATTCACTCTATGGAGGAAATGTGAACCTTAACACCCTCATAGAAGTTGCATGCACAAGATCATCAATAGAGCTGCAATCCATTAAGCAAACTTATAGCTCCCAATACAACTCTAACATTGACCAGGATGTTGCGTTCAAAGTTAATGGTGGATTCAAAGAGGTATAGTATATATGCTGCCTTTGGTAGCTTTTCTCGCCTTGAAATTGAAACTGGTGGAAAGCTACGTAGATTCTAAGTTACCAAACGTAGCATTAGTGTATATTTGGAATCAAATATTCGTATCAAAATCGAGTGCTAAAAAGTTTATAATGATAATCTAATTGTAGCTTTTTCATGCTCTTATTAGATTCTGCTGGCAATTTTGAAGTCATGTCGCAACTATGGTGGCAAAGTTGATACAAGCATGGCAATGTGTGACGCCAAGACACTCTATGAAGCAATGGAGAGTGGGAAAATTGTTGACCAGAAGACCATGATTTCACTTGTAAGTCAGAGAAACACTGGCCAAATTAAAGCCATTTTGGTGTCCTACAAACAACTCTATGGCCATGAATTCTCCAAGTCGCTTAAGCGAAGCAAATGTGGGCAATTTGGGAAGGAACTTCGGATTGTGATCCGATGCATACAACATCCGGAAAAATTCTTGGCGAAGCAACTAAGGTTGAAGAATGGTGATGCTAGAGAGATCTTAACCCGAATTATAATTACGCGATCAAATGTAGACATCAAGGAGATAAGCAGGAGTTATGCAGCCAAAACAGGGAGCTCTCTGGAGAATTTTGTGAGGAAAGAGTTCAACAATAGCAAGGATAAAGCCAGTGGCATTGTGGCTGACTTCTTGGTTGGACTGATCAAAGGTTGAATTCTCACATGTATTGTTATTTTAATCATCCTTGTGATATGAAAAATAAAGGTTCATGTTTGTGTATTTGTTCAGCTTTAGGCTTGTATTAGTTTTTATATAGTTTGCTTACCCTGTATTGCAAATGAGAGATTTAAAAGATTGTAATAGGTTATTCTTTTCTAATATTGTGATTGTAAAATGATGCCTCTGGTTTGTTGGTGTGAATGGATAGTGGGAGGAAAACAGTTTTCATAGGTGGAGGAAATGAAAGATGAAGAGGAAAAGGAAAAGATGGGAGGGAAAGTAAGGAGATGCCATGTCTTTTTACATTTTTACCCTTCAGACAACACTTTTCTTTCATATGCTGGAAGCTGAAGGACTTGGGTCTCCCCCTTTTAGGAGTAATAGTTCCTTTCCATTTTTCACAACTTTTTTTTCGTACACAATTCTCACTTTTTTTTCTTTTCTGTTTTTTTTTTTTCTCTCCTCAGAAAAATACGAGTCTTCGTATAAATATGAAAGATGAACACCAAAAAATTAACATCCCATAGCATTCCATGCTTTTAATGTCGGGGTTCACTTTAACCGTATCATACATATTACCTCGGAAGTCTAACCATTAGCATGGCCTCATGAAACTACACTGTTTTTTGAGCAAATATCCTGATAAAAAATTTAAATTAGAATTGAATAACTGAGACCGAAAAGAGGTCGATTCAATGGCATCGTTAAAAAACCACATCGATTAATCAAACGATTTTTACAAAATCATATTTTAGCCATTGGCCCTCAAGTGACATAAGTTCCGATGTTTCCCTCCGTCCAAAACAATTAGCCTAAAGCCAACCAGGATTCTGCAGCAATACATGCACAATGGTCAAAAGTATCAGCTGAATTTGCCAATTTCCATCTTCTTCTTCAGAGCCCTTCTACCATGGTATATGAATGAATCTATTATTCCCGCCACTGTGAATACACCTGAATAAAAAAAAAATTAACCAGGGAAAAAAAAAAAAAAAAAGGAAATTTCATTAAAGTTGACGCAATAGAGAGCATAACCAATCATCAGACAGAAATCTATGAAATCTCACGAGAAAATCTTGAAACCTCTAATTTTCACAAAACCAACTATAGAACAAAGTATATGAAAAGGTCACACACAAGATCTTTCAAAACCGACTTCTTCTCAGATTCAAGCCCAAGGTTTTATAGTTTTCACAGTCAATATCCATAGCATATTACAGCTAGCGATCACAGCCCAAACGGGAAAAGTCACTTAGGCCGCTGGCTGCATTACCTGCAGCTTATGGCATCTTCAAATTCAAATTTTGATATCTTTAATATATCTCACCAGTGTATATCTCATTGTTTACTTTCATCAACACTTTTACATAGCCTTGTTTACGGGCTATTACAAATTTAAAATCAGTCCAAAGTAGGATGTGTTTCGTTTTTCTTTTCCAACAGTAAAAATCAAAGTCCTCACCCAGCCCTCCCTCTCAGAAGATGTCATGTCAGCATTTCATCACCGTGACCATTCCTACTCTGTAATTCACCAATACTGGTGATCCCACCAGTGTTCACCAAAGGCCAAGTGGCCCAGCGGTACAGGCCCCTACTCCCCCAAAGGGAGGCATGGGGGTGTGTGGTTACTACTTACCTTCCAAAAAAAATCACCAATACTGGTAGATCCGAAAATATAACATGGATAAAAGGAAACTAGAGACTAAAATGGTTAGGATAAAATGAATCTGGAGTAGCAGTTAGACACTCATAATTGAGATGGATGTATCTCCTCTCTTACTGTACCCCTTTCATGTATGTCATGTAACCATGTATTTCTTTTCTCGACTTATTTGATGCATCAAATTTTCTAACATTCTATTATTTGGAATGTCGTTATTACAGAAATTATTTATGTGGGTCATGGAACCAGAAACTCTCTCTTGGTGACCAATTGACATTTATGCAAGTACAAACAATGACAAAAGGAGAGGATTATGGACTGAATTAATGAATTAAGAGTTCATATTACCTCCGACAATTGCACAAATATGTGTCACAAAGTGTAAGAATGATGCATGTTCCTCTTTGAATGTCACCTGCAACAAGTAAACGTCATCTAGAAAATAAGACAGACGGCAAATACACATCCACTAACTTTCTAGCAAAATATCGTTATAATTATGCGTGTGTCTGTGTGCTCATCTTGCATCAGGATTCAGGACGAGTTCTTCACTAGGAATAAAAAAATCAAAAATGGAAAATTTCATCAGTGACAGCTCCTGGCTGCAGAATTGTGTCCTAGCTGGTTTGATATGAAAAAAGAAACGAACCTTAATAGGAGAAAGGTCATAAAAGAAGAAAACCCCAGGAAGAGATTGATAGAGACCCATTTCTGCACTCTTGAAATGCTCTGTCACGGAGAACTAAACATGCCAATGTCAATCATGTATCTTAGGACACGATCAATGAAAACACAAAACAATCAGAAGATTCCATCTTCAAAATGTCTAGAGATACCTGATTTGAATTAATAGTGCGCCCTCTAATATCAGTATATATAGTAGGGACCACCTGAAAAATAAAACAAAAAAATATCCTCAATATCCTCACTTCTAGCATTAATAATTTTAAACACTGCATGTGCTTGTGCACCCAGACCAATACTCACACATATACAAGAAAGATAAAAGAAAGAAACAACTAGGCTTAAGAATCCATATTCCAATAATCTGGTCATATAAGGCAAATATTTTTCAACTTTTCTCATAAATGATCCTTTTTGTGTTGTCAACTTTTCTCATAAATGATCCTTTTTTACCATAGACAATGTCAAAGTTGCAAATCCATCTCTTCCCTGAAAACCAGAAATGGTTCTTCAAGAGGTGTTCTGAAGGTTTTCTGCACTGGATGCTGGAGCTAAGCAGGAAACTTCACCTATTTGTTGTAGCAGATGACACTTTTTTTTTTTTTTTTTTTTTTTTTTTTTTTTTTTTTTGTTTGGGCTCGGGATAAGCCGCCGATTAGAGAGAATTGTCGCCCAGTGGGTGAGGGGGATGATGCAGTAACTTGCCTAGCAACTTGCAATAAGAGATCGGAGAAATTTCCTACCTCATACTCGGGGTTTTCGATAGTGGCACTATTTAGTCAAATCTATCTGAGAGCCTGATGTGGCAAGATTCAAACAAAGACCAGAACGGGATCATATATTTCAAAAAGAGAGAGCATGATAGTTATTAATAACAATAATTGTTTGGAGTGGTTCCACTGTGGAATCTAAATGGCACCTCATTAAGTGGGAGTTTGTTTGCTTGTCCAAGTATATGAGGGACATGGAAATTCATCCATTGGTGGCCAATAACAAAGCTCTAAGTTAACGGTTATGGTGGTATGCTGCACAGAGAAATTGTTTTTGAAAGAAAATTACTCAACGCAAGTCTGGAAGATAAGCATTGCTCAAGGTTGCAGTAAGGCGAGGGAAGCAATTGAGTGGGCCTTGGAAAGGGATTTTAACACCAATTCGGAAAAAAACAAAGAATGAACTTTCAAGCAGGATATTCCTTTGAAGCTTCAATTTTATCTTCAAAGGTAGAAGGTTTAATTGGTTGGTCAGGAAGTCCACATCAGTGTGCAAATTTTGAATTATAAAAAGAAGCTGAGGTGGAGGCTGCACTGCCTCACTTTTATTACTTAAAGTTCAGATTGGTCGGAGGAGATTGATTTATAGATAAGAGTTTTCTCTATGAAGGTGGCTATGTGGATCAGTGAGTGGAGCCCAGGGTTTTTTTTTTTTCTTTTTTCCTTTTGATCCCTCTATAGGAAGTGTGACATGAGTTGCTACTTTTGAAGGTAAAATTTTTTTTTGTAGACATCTGCACAAAAATTCTGCTAAAATCCTTTACTTGATTACTTAGCAATAGGATATTATATATTACTACTCAAAGTAAAATGCGTAGTGTGTGTAGTGTACCCGTATCCAAATTTCGGACACTTATCCCCAGATGATAAGATTTGGGATTTGACGAAATCTGGCACTTAAGAGACCCTCAGCCGATGAACAAACCAAGTCCATGTAACCTGGACTAAAAGTTTGGAGAGGCAGTCCTTCTGAAAAAAATTATGTTATCTCTGTGTTTCACAAGGCAATTCCTACAGTGGCGAGTCATGTCAGGTCTTTTTTTTTTTTTAATTTATTTATACATCCTGTTTACATGAGGGTTGCCTCTTTTGTAACATTCTTTTCATTAAGAAAATGACAACTAAAAAAATTTATGGAGGCAAAGAAAATTGAGCATTAATGCATTACAAATATCCTCCTTCATCATCATCATCATCATCATCATCATCCTTGCCTTAATCTCATATGAATGGGGTCAGCCACATGAATTCTCTCTTTCCAAGCTTTTCTATTACATGTCATTTCACCTACTATATTTAACTTTTTAAAGTCATTTTTAATAATCTCATCACATGTTATTTTTGGTTGCCCTCTCCCTCGTTTGACCGGCGCGTTGCTAGGTCTTCGATGTAAGTGTCAAACCATCCAAGTCTATTTTCTCTAATTTTCTCACCAAACGGTGCCACACCTAATTTTTCTCACTTTCATTAGCGACTCTTATCTCTTCTAGTCACTCCACTCATCCATCTTAACATTCTCGTCTCCGCTACATGAATTCGTCGTTCTTGTTTCTTTTTAGGGCCCAACACTCCATTACATACAAAAATGGTCTAACAACGGTCCTATAGAATTTTTCCTTTTAGCCTATTTGCCATTTTTTTAGCGCATAATATCCCACTAGGTTGTCTCCATTTTGTCCAACCGCTCCAATTCTATTAGTGATATATCATTATCTATCTCTCCATCATTTTGTAAGTTGGACATTGAGAAAGTGTATAACCATGTGAGTTGGAGCTTTCTTCTGTACTTGATGGAGAGAATGGGGTTCGGTGATAGGTGGAGGAGATGGATTCAGTTTTGTACTTCCAGTGCTCGCTTTTCGATCCTTGTTAATGGTGCTCCTACCGGTTTTTTCTCTAGCTCAAGGGGCTTGAGACAGGGGGATCCTCTCTCCCCCTTCTTGTTCTTGTTTGTGATGGAGGCCCTTAGTAGATTGATGCGAAGGGCTGCTGATTTGGGTCTTGTGAGAGGCTTTCGGGTGGGCAGGGATGCTGCTTCTCAGTTGGAGATCTCTCATTTGATGTTTGCTGATGACACTTTGGTTCTTTGTGATGCGAATGTGTCCCAGATTAGATATCTGAGATGTGTCTTGATTTGGTTCCAAGTTGTCTCCGGCCTTAAGGTGAATGTGGGCAAGAGTGTTTTGGTGCCGGTTAAGGAGGTTCCTAAGATTGAGACTTTTGCTGACATCCTTGGATGTCGCACTGGTGCTTTTCCCATTTCTTACTTAGGTTTGCCTCTGGGAGCTCCTTCGAGGTGTGTGGGGATTTGGGATCCAGTTGTGGATATATTTGAGAGAAGGTTGGCAGGTTGGAAGAAGCAATATCTTTCCAAGGGCGGCAAGGTCACTCTGATTAAGAGTACCCTCTCTAGCCTTCCCACTTATTTTATCTCTCTCTTTCAGATTCCATCTTCAGTTGCGGAGAGGATTGAGAGGTTGCAGCGTAATTTTCTGTGAGGGGGGTAGAGGTGAAGAGTTTAAGTTCCATTTGGTGAGATGGGATCAGGTATGCAGGCCTATTCGGAATGGTGGGCTGGGTCTTCGTAGATTGGTGCCTTTTAATAAGGCCCTTCTTGGAAAATGGTTGTGGAGGTTTGGTGTGGAGAGACATTGGCTTTGGAGGAGGGTTGTGGCTTGTCGTTTTGGAGAGATGAGAGGAGGGTGGAGCTCTTTGGAAGTTAGAAATCCGCGGGGGGTGGGAGTTTGGAAATTTATTCGGAAGGGTTGGGATGATTTTTCCTAGCGCATTCGGTTCGTCTTAGAGATGGGAGGAGGATTTGTTTTTGGGAGGATGTGTGGTGTGGTGAAACTCCTCTTGCTCTTGCCTTTCCTCAGCTTCACAGGATTGCTTCGGATAGGCAGGCCTTGGTGGTTAACTGTTATCATCTTGATAATGGGAGACTGGTTTGGGATGTTCGATTCAGGCATGCCTTTCAGGATTGGGAGATTGATGAGGCAATTCGTCTCTTGGAGTTGTTATATTGCCAGAGGCTTGTGGTGGAGGATTCGGATTGTTGGTCTTGGGTCGCAAACTCCAAGGGGGTGAGGTGAGGTCTTTCTCAAGTGCCTCTCTTTTGATCCTGGAGTTCTTTTTCCTTGGAAGTCTGTTTGGCGTTCTAAGGCTCCTCTCAAAGTGGCTTTCTTTGTGTGGACTTCGGTTCTGGGTAGGATCTTAACCCAGGATAATTTGAGAAAGAGAAGCCAGGTGGTGGTCAATCATTGTTATATGTGTCTTCGTGATGAGGAATCTGTAGATCACCTTCTAATTCATTGCTCTTTGGCTAGAGAGTGTTAGGATTTGATGCTTGGCTTATTTGGGTTTTATTGGGTTATGCCAGGATCTACTAGAGAGTTGATTGAGATGTGGAGAGGTTGCCATGTGGAGGCTCTCAGTCAGGATGCGTGGAGAACTACGCCGCTTTGTGTGTGGTGGTGAATTTGGCTTGAAAGGAATAGGAGATACTTTGAAGGAAAGGCGGTGTCGATTTCGGTGCTTAAATTCTCGATTATTTCCACTCTTTTTTGTTGGGTTTCAAGGAGAGATCATAGATCGTTGGAGGAAATTGTTGATTTTTTGGCCTCTTTGAAGGCTTGAGACCTTTGTGCTCTTTTGTATTTCCTTGGGATTCGCTCCCCTCTTGAGCATCTTTTAATAATATTCTTTTATTTATCAAAAAAATTAATGTCCAAATCAATATTAAATTTACACTCTATATACTCGATTTTAGTTCGGCTAATTCTCAATCCTTTCGATTCTAAAGCATTTCTCCACATTTCTAATTTTATTGCTATGTTCTCTTTAAAGATATCCAAGAGCACACTGCACAGTGTCATCAGCAAACATCATGCACCAAGGAATCTCGTTTTGGAATATTTTTTTTTGTAATTTCACCTAAGATTATTGTAAATAGATATGGGCTTAGCACCGATCCTTGGTGTAACTCTACGTTTATGGAAAACTCACAAGTGTCACCACATGTGGTACAAACTTTAGTTTTTGTATTCATATACATATCTTGGATACTTTTACAATTACAAATATCCTTATTAGGTGAAATAATGGCCTAGAACTGGAACTATCATCAACACCAATGTTTTCTAGATTATAAGGTTTGCGCTTGTAGTTATGTTGAAGTGATAAGGAACATTAATGCATTAAAAATATTTTTATTAAGTTAAATAAATGGTCCAGGATTGGAACCATCATCAACATCAATATTTTGTAGATTATTAGGTCTGCACTTGTAGTTATGTTGAAATGGTGATGGATGGCTATTTCACTATGGGCATCCAAATAATATGCAGCTCAATGATATTACCGAAGTACTAACTTTGTGGTGTTAAATTTCAATTTTTCACTCCTATCCTAAACAAGAAAAGAATGGAAACAAAACTGATGAATCTCCAGAGGATATGATACCTTGATAAAATACTGGTACATTCCATTTGGTGCTTCTTGAACCCATTGCACCCTGAAAAAACAATTGAAAAGGATAGAAGAAAAATTTGTCAGTACAGAACATGATGTCAAACGACTAGTTTAAATTCAGATGCCAAATCTAAGAATATATAACATTTTTCACATTTTGAGATTTAATTGAAAAGCATACAAATTGATTAAGGGAATAACATTTTTTAAATATCAAAAGGAACAACTAAAAATATAGTTATATAAATAACAATAGGAGAACACGGTTACCAACTACAGGAAGGATGAAAAATCCTTCATCGATAAAAGCTATCAGCAAACCAAGTGCACAGAGAAGTTTACAATCCCAATCTAAATCCCTAACAGGGGATTAAAGAGCCCTCTAGAAGGTAATGTGGTAACTATTTTTTTGACCAATAAATCAGATATCAGCCTTAAAAAAGTTCAATAAATCTAAGGTCTCCAGCATAAGGAAAGCATAGAGCCAAGATCCAAAATCTCAGGTTTTCACACGATCTATCAAAAACTTGGAGTCTCCATTTATATTCAACGGTGGATTCCCATAGAAAAATAATTAATAAATTATCAAAAATATATATTTATATGAAAAACTATATGTCAGACAAAAAAGCTCATAAATGTCTTGTAAGAAAATTAGGCACAAAAGAGGACCAGAAAAATATTTATAAATTAGCATAAAATAGGGATAGATCAACTAATTACCAAACTCGAATTAGATGCATACACAATTTTAGTCAAAGAAATGACATATTAAATAGGTGGAGGAATTATTTTCAAAATCTATTAAATGAGGAGAACCCTAGAGAAGACATAGAAGGAAACGAAGTTAACATAGGAATGATAGATAAAATCACCAAGGAGGAGGTAGAAGACACACTTTAGAAGATGGGGAGTAATCCTGATAATATTCCCATAGAGGTTTGCCAGACGTTAGGAAACATAGGAGTTGAGTGGCTAAGTTGTTTAACAACATGCTAAAACACGGTATGATGCCAACTGAATAGAGAAGTACAATAGTATCACTTGACAAAAATAAAGGAGATGTACAAAATTGTGGAACCTATGGAGGAATTAAATTAATATGCCATACAATGAAATTATGAGAGAGGGTAATAGAACAAAGACTAAGGAAGGAATCCATGGTATCGGATAACCAAAACAGATTCATACTGGGAAGTTCAACAATGGAAGCGATATACCTACTTTGGCAATTAGTTGAAACATGTAGGAGTAAGCAACAAAACTTACGTATGGTCTTTAGACTTAGAAAAAGCATATGATTGGCCCAAGAGATATAATTTGGTGGGCCCTACAAATAAAACAAGCCCCTTACAAATCATAAAAAGTATCCAACATATGTATAAAGAATACTACAACTAAAGTCCATACCATGTGGTGATACTAGTGAGTTCGCCATAAACGTAGGATTACACCAAGGGTTGGTGCTAAGCCCATATCTATTTGCAATCATCTTAGATGAAATAATAAAAAGACTCCCAAGACGAGATTCCATGGTGCATAATGTTTGTGGATGATATTGTGCTCTTAGATACCTCTAAAAAGAACCTAGCAATAAAACTAGAGATGTGGAGGAATGCTTTAGAATCGAAAGGCTTGAGAATTAGTTGAAACTAAAACTGAGTATATGGAGTATAAATTTAACAAAGATTTGGATGTTGATAATATAATGATAGCACTTCGAAACCAAAATGTTGCTCAAAACTACCAATTTAGGTACCTAGGATCGATAATACAAAATGATGGTGAGATAGATAGTGATATAGCTAGTAGAATTGCTGCAGATTGGACAAAATGGAGGCAAGCTAATAGGATATTATGTGATAAAAGAATTAACAAATAAGCTAAAATAAAATTTTTATAGGACCGTATTTAGACCAACTATATTGTATGGGGCAGAGTGTTAGGCAGTGGGCACTAAAAAGGGACAAGAACAATGCCTTCATGTAGCAGAAATGAGAATGACAAGGTGGATGAGTGGAGACTGTGGAGTGACTAGAAGAGAAGGTAACTAATGAGAGTGAGAAATATTAGGTGTAGCACCTAATGGTGAGAAAATTAGAGAGAGTGCACTTAGATGGTTTGGACACATATACTGGAGAGAGAACGACGCACCGGTGAAGTGAGAAAGACAAGTTGTAATAGAAGGAAAGAAACGGAGAGAGCGTCCAAAAATAACATGCAATGAAGTCAAGTCCTACGAACAAATTCCAGACCAATCTGCAATGTTGTATCCAACATGATGGTCAAAATCCAAGTATCCCTAAAATACGGCCTTTCAAGGACACAAATAGTTTCTCCATAGACAATACTGGCTTTCCACCTGTTTTTTAGAAGACCTTACTTGCAATGTTGTATCCAACATGATGGTCGAAATCCAAGTATCCCTAAAATACGGCCTTTCAAGGACAAGGATAGTTTGTCCATAGAAAATTACTGGCTTCCACCTGTTTTTTAGAAGACCTTACTTGTTTCTGATAACTAAATTTCAAAGCAAGTTTTGCTCCTTAGGAACCACAATGACCATTTCTCTAGTTAGGCTTATTCCTAATGACCGCTATTCCTTATATAAATCAACTTTTTATCTTGATCCACAAACCATCTCCCAATTAACAAGATGGTATCTAATAGTATCTCCTGACCTATACCAAATAAAATCGCTCTGTATTCTCTCAGTATTAACAACAAAGATTAGCACTTTGAACAAAGACGGACAGCTGTTGTAATATAGGTTAAGCATCACTGGATAGGAGTGATTCTTACTCATAAAGATGGACAGCTGTTGTAAGATAACTTTTACAAACAAGCATAAACAAGGGAATAGACTACACTCTGCTTAGAATATGCTCGAGTACACAAACCAAATTTGGTTAAAAGGCATTTAAATTTTCCAGCATTTTAACATGCTTCAGAATATATTGTTATTTCATTTTTGTCCCAACCAGAAAGACATTGATGCCATATACCAAGGCCTGAACTCATATATCACCAGTGAAAGATAAAAAAAACATGTCTAATAATGAAATAGTTCTTAAAGGTAAAAAAGAAAAAATTACCCGTCAAGGGGATTTATAACTCCAGGATAGAAGTCTCCAAAGGCTAACCTATTGATCCTGTGACTTATCTGTTTAATGCACCAACAAGTTATGCTTCAACTAAAAATACAAACAAAATAAAGGAAAACAAAAGAAATGAGCAAAATTATTGCTGCCCATCAAAAGAAATTAAAATAAATCTTTCATAATAAAATATATTTATTGACAGTATCTTACGTTGTATTTGTCCTGTTGAAAGGCCAGCAAATCTTGCAGGAAATTTGACTGATGAAAGCTTTTCCCAGTAGCAAAATGAAAATTCCCAGCCACTTTGTTAACTTCCAGAGATCCATGAATATTGCAACCTTCACCTTCTTCATCTTTAATTTTTTGAACGAAACCTTCTCTTTTGCACTACACGACAGGGCCACATTGTGGCAAAGAAAATATTAATGATTTTCCCAAACTTAGGACTTATGAACTACATATATGGACAATAGGAGTAGAAAAAGTGGGTGCCTGTCACGTCTAATTTATTGTTTTCACTGTACCCATAAAGTGCAATGAATAGGATATTGGACAACTCTATGCCTGAGCAGAGGGCCAAGTAAGATCAGGCACCACTATCAAAACACAATCATCTGTGGACAAATCATTTAAGTTGCTGAAGCAACATTACTAAGTTCCTTGTATCTATGTCCTCTTCTGGTTTTGTATCTTGCTGCTTGGTTAATGAAGTTTGCATTGTGTGGGTGTGTGTGTTGTGGGGGGGGGGGGGGGGGGGGGGGGCCACAGTATTTAATGCCCATAATCACAAATCCAGGTAGGGTGCTGCTTCCAAAAACACAAGGCACCTAAATATGGAGATTGGATCCTCATTCGTCACCAAGACAGTATCCAAAGTTGCATGTTAGTTATGTGGCTCCTATTCCACGTCAGTGTCATAATTGGGTCATTTTGTGTTAATCATCTGTATCATTCTTTTTTGCACTAGTGTATAGTCACCCTCTCTCTTGAAGGAATTCTTACAGACGAAGAAAAGAATAAGATATAATTTTCTCAGGTGATTACTACAAATTTTTTTTATAACAAAAGAAAGAAAAAGAAAGGCTTCACATAAGGAATAAAGGATTTTGATGGAAGAAACTCCTCCCCAGCCCAAAAAAATAAATATATTTATCATGATAATGGTGAATATATTGTTTTGTTTCCTGATCCAATACAAGACCCTTAAAGTTATCTGGGGCTTGAAGAAGAAGACATAAGTCTAATTAGATGAAGTGTCACTAATATTTTATTCAAAATAGGAAAAGGGAAGACCAGACCCAGACCACCGTAGAATCTCTCAGCAGAGATACGGAATAGTTAAGAAAGGAACTCCTCCCAGGCCCAAAAACTATGCCATCAGTTAACAGCGATGGTAAGAATACTGTTTGACTTTACCGTACCAACAGAAGATTTTTAATCTTCGAACTAATCATCTTTGTGTTTTAGCTGATTTCTTATCCTAACTCATGTCAAATTCACAATCGTCTGCCACCAGAAAGAAGAATAATAAAATTGAGATATTGAATATGGGCTAACCTGGTCAATCAAATCTATATTTGTCATACCCCAACCTTTTTTTCGATATGCTTCGCGAACTTCTTCACATGAATTACAACAATCATCATCTGCCTGTAAAGAGAATAAAGAAACTGAGAGAAGTCATGAAACAAACGGCTTATTAGAAGTTACATGCAAAATTTTGGGATATAAAACTTCCTATGAAAACAGATTCCAGAAGACAAATTTTCCAAGAAAAAGGCCAAAACAATAATGAGAGACATGTTTCCAGTTAACTTCGGCACGTTATATCGCTGTCTTAAAACTATTTTCACTGTGCAAAACTATCTAGGGTTGATAGTCCGTTAGAATGATGACCCCAGTACATGTGAATCTTTCATTTTAAATTTTTCAATAGTACAAGTTTCTTTGTTTAAAAAAAAAAAAAAACCGTAAGAAAATAAAATCTGATCAAAACTATCTGTTAATACTGACGCATAGATGAACTCTTAAGTTGGACATCAAGTGGCTGTTCCCAACAAACCATGTAAGTGTCACATATTCACTTGATTATGAACACCAAGACAAGTTTTAAGTTTGATGCACATACACTAAACACTCCCAACTTTAAGAGAGAATCTTTTTAGCATATTAGCGACATTTCAACAAGTTATACTCCAGAAACAGGGAATACTGTCAAGGATCCAGAACAAGAATTAGCAGGCTCCCCAGAGAGTTTAAACTTCTTGGCCCATTTGGTTTCAGGATTCGGAAAATGTACTAGGTAGAAATATTCCACTACTTACTAAACATTTTCATCATGAAAACAAACAGAGCCTACTCAGACAAAAGCAACTTGTTGGTGAACGGAGAGGAAGAGGGGTGTGGAGATGGTATTAAAAACTCATTTTTTTTTAGTAGATTTATGAAGTTCACTGAATCTTGAGATTTGATAGAAGTTACTAGTTACATTACCCTGGAATTAGCAGAGTACCAGGACAGGAGGTTGTGGCGGCCCTGTCTCCAACACAACTTGATCACCTAATACTCAATTTCTTCCTATTTGTTTGCAATTCACCTTATTAATCAAATAATAATGCTTCGGGGATGCAAATGCAGGTCAAGGAGTCACGGACCAGGTTGAAAGATGCCATTATTATCAATAACTAACATTAACTTGGAACCTTCATAACAGAGATCTCAAATCAGAAATTAACATTCATTACACTACAATCATGTCTATAGATATTTTATTTTGGAAAGCCAATATTAAAGAAGAAAACTTCATGTTGGTAAAGCATATTAGAAACCAAGAACTCAAAAGGGCAATGTCTGTGATACGAGTATAAGAGGAAACATTACAGCAGTAACTCCAAATAGGTCATGAGGGTTATAGAAGTGAGTAAAGACTCCAAAAAACCAACTCTAAAATGCTTTGGTACAGGATAAAGGCTTTAGAAGAACTAGGACAGCAAGAAAAGATCTAGATTGTAGTGCGGAAGGAAAAAAAATGTCAACAGTAAAGGAGAAAGAAAGAATGGCCACTGTAGAGAACTTCCAAATAAATAGTTAGCATAATTTTGCATGATGGTGGTGATTATGATGATCATATAGGCTGCAACTATTAAGAAAAGATTATATCCACATCACTGATCACACCAACTACAATCGTACTTTACATCTATTAGAACATGGCAGACATTTCGAGTTAACCAGTTTGATAGTCCACCTTCAGTATCTGACATATAGTATTATCACATGGCTCGGTATTATAACATGACTCGGCCACAAGGGGAATCAAGAGAAAGGGAGTCAAAAAAGCAAAAGTACCGTTTCTGCACCATAACATGAACCACAATATTTCTCATCCTTCCCTAACCTGCCACCATGTCTCTGCAAAGGAGTCTCAATCTGTAGGAAAATAATCAAATAAATAAATAAGTAGTTAAGGGGGGAAAGAGAGTAAGTAAACCAGTAAGTAAAGGCAAAAAGAAATTTCAAAGACGCATCAATATGAACCAATATGCAATAACTGGAAGAAAATGCTTAAAAGACCATTGTTGTGTGTAGATGTTACAGGTTACATTTTAATTGCATCAGATGGAGTCAAATCCATAAATTTTTATGTCTGGAGCATTTGACTTCTTGTGAAATCCTGAACTCAGTTGGCTGTTATGCGTTACTTAGCCTGAACTCAGTTGGCTATTATGTGTTACTTTACCATAGTATTACAGTTACTTGAAATTTATGTTGTTGATGCTCGACATTTATGTATTTCAGGTAGTTTTTATAAGTGCTTCAGATAGATTCACAAAAAACAGTGTTTCATAATGCTACTTCTTCATTTCCAAACCAAAAGAGAGAGAACAAACTGAAACAAGCATTAGTACTATAATAGCAGCAGGCTCATCATGGTGCCACTCCATGAAAGAGAATAACCATGTGTTACTTTGCCTAATGAATTACCGCACGTCCATCCTACATGCCAATTTGGATAGCCAAAAACATCACCAAGCACTAAGCCAACTGCTCATGCCCCAATGCAATCAATCCCACAGAACTATGTGCACGGCCATGCAATCTATCAAAAGGTACCCCAGGCATCACACTGGAAAGCTACTCCAAACCACTAGACCACAGTTCATGACTAGGTCCAGACTCCAGACCACTGAACCACTCACTAATATTCTTTAACTTTGATCCGATTGGAATATCATTAAGGGATATCGAAATGGGGCAGAGAGTTCACCATGTGAATAAAATTAAATCATCTTCATCCTAATATATTATAGCCTATGACTAAATAAATTCTGCAACACAATTAGACTTATCTACGATATAATATCCAAATACTAAATCCAGCAAGAGGGCATTTGTCTGCATGTTCTTATTAAAATTATATAGACAATCCCTGAGTGATACATTTCTGCCATATAACCATCATAACCAAATCCATCAGAGAACAATACGTTAACAAATGTGTGGTCTCAACTAATAGAAGATATGAACACAACAGCCTGTAAAGAAATGCAAGTACAGAATCACATATCCACTAACCTTTGGGGCACCAATTCCATCCTGTCTTGCTTCAATTACATTACCAAGAGAATCAATTCTTTTCTTGATTATATCATGTCTCTGCAAGTTTAATAAAAGATATGTACATAACCAATCAGTAAGAGGAGAATACAACAGTCAAGTAAAAGAAGGTCAGGCGCAATACAAATGGAGAAGAGGAAAAGAATACGACAGTCAAGTAAAACAAGGTCAGGCACAATACAAATGGTGTAAAGTAAATAGTTAAAGCAAAAGGCATCATTACGCATGCATGATAGCGGTATACTTTGAATGCTGTAAAATTAATTGACGAAAAGCCACACTTACTATATCAAGATGTTGTTCTCCACTGATATCCATGGCGTCAAGGCTGAGTAATGAGCACCGAACGGCAGGAAAAGTGACGTCAAACTGCATTTTCAAGAAATGGGGAAATGGATTAATAACAAACGCAGATTGGCTGGATTAAGAAAAATTAAGGATTAAATAAGAATATTAGAAGCTACAATTTCTAGCATGAAAACTTCCCATAGGTAAAAGTTGAGAACTTGGTGAGTAATTTTTATAACAAGAAAGGGAATGCAAAAAAAGCTATGATTATTACAACACTGCATAAGGTATTTAACCTAGTAACAACTTGCAAGCTAAGATTATTGCAACATTGCATAAAGCTACAATTATTACAACATTCGCATTTAATTGGCATTTCCAAGTAAAACAATTGTCTTTACATGGATGCGAAGGGTTCCTCCCCTTGAAGTATCAACTAAAAGCTTTGTTTCAGTAACAGTGTGGAGGTATAATCCTGCAATCGTAAAGTAACCAGAAATAAGTAATAATGAATGAGAAATCATAATTATACTTGAAAATAAGAACAAAATATTTCTAAAATGTCTAACTTCATAGGATTTGAATTGATTAAAGAGTTATAAAAAATAAGAAATCATGACTAATATTCAAAAATAATAATAATGAAATTTCTAATTGTCCAATTTCAATTATTTCAAATAATTACAGAGAACAGACACTTGAAGTAAAACGGATCAAGTAAATTTGATGAACAGTAAACAGCAACATTGGGTTAAGTAAAAATTGATGAAGCGTTGCAGAATCGAGGTTGGGTCTCATATCCACCATGCACCTACATTTGAAACTGATAGCCCCTTGATTAATCAAGGGCACTTAAATATCAAGTAAAGTCTCGTAACAAATGTAGCTACTAACAGAACTTCAGTTATACAAATTTGAAAAAGACTACCTATGATCTAATTTGTTTGTAGAGTAGATACTTACTATATATTTGTGCAAAGAGAAATAAAAAGGACGTCTGGCATATAGAGTATTTCTCTGCTTTCCCATGTGTAATGCAATATCGAAGGCCTTGTCAACCATTATAGTTGTCAAAAGCATTGTAGCAGCTGATTGGTTATATTCATTCAAAATCGGTACCATGGGATTCCACTGAACTAAGTTGTTGTAATGAATGCACTAATGGCCCCTTTGCCAGGAAATCAATGTATTTTTGCAAGAATCCGGAGTAAAGGTTTCATTATTGTTTTCCAGAATGGCTTAAAGTTGGTTCTTTTACATAAAATCCTACTTTCATTGGATATCATGGTAAAGTTTATCTGCCACATACATTTTTTTTTTCTTTCTTGGTCTTCTGTGTCCTTTTAAGTCTGATTGAGTGCCTCAGAATGAGTTTTGAGAGTTGTAATATGGTGGAACTCTCATTCAAGAATGGCCATCTGAAGTTTGCAAGGGGAGTCAAAATGGACATAATCCAGACTAGGCAACTATGACGGACATAGTCGCAAACATACTGTCTCAAAGGGCATCAATGAAGAATAAAGGCGGCGGAAGGAAAAATGGTAAGACAGATTTGCAGCCCATAAGCCACTACAAGCAACTATAAAGGACATAGTCGTGTCTTGTGGTGTGCAATGGGAAATGATGATTTATGGAAAAACGCCCAGGAGTGGACCACTTTCCCCTAGAAAGCCTTGTAAGGCGCAATTCGTGGTTACATCTTGGGAAGCACTCGATACTCACACAATAAGTATGTCAAAGAGGGGGGAAAAGTATTATCAGTAATAGCAAATGAGCAGAGGACAACACATCTATGATAAGGCTAGCCCCCTTCATTGACACATCCAAAACAGTCATATAGATTTATTTAGGGTAAAGTCAAGTTGGGTAGTAAATCCATGTTGTAGTCAGCGGCTCGAGAGCAATAGAACTATGATAAGGCACGTTCTAGTTTCTTCCACTAATATGGATAACGTGCATGTGCAATTGATAATCCGCAATCACCCCCAAAGTCTCAGCTGACTACTAAGCTGTTTGAGGAAATTTGGTTGTTACTTTGATTTGGTTTGTTTAGATTTGTACGACAACTCGAGGGATGAGAACAAGTATTAGTATACATGATCGGTGGGTCAGCTTTCGACACAGAAACATGAGGAAACAATAGAAAAGGAGGATATGTAACACCCCATTGCGAATCAGACATCTGGTGACAAAAAGGAAACATGTGAGATTTTCCTTCCACTACAGAGTCATCATTTAGTGAGAATACCTAAGAGAATAATCATTAGTGGAAGAAACAATTATTGAAGAATCTAGAAAAAATGAATGACCACGATAGTGTTTGACCTTTTAAGGTAAAACTACCAATTCAAACCTCAAATCATACAAATTATGCATTTTTTTAGAATTATTATGAAATTGTAAACTTCACGGTTTATAGTTCAATCACCAGGAAGTTACTCCTGAAACACTAAATGTCATTTGGTGTGTCTAATTATTGAAATGTCCCTCCACAATTAATCTTCACCAAGAACAAAAATCTGGTAACTTCTCCAAGGCAAACTTAATCAACTCTCTCTCACACGCAGTGGTTATGTCATCATCAACAGTGGCTCCTTACTATATAGTTTCGATATTGACACTACAGGAAGCAGGATAAATTGCATACACGTATGAATTTCTATTGCACATATTAAACTGTATATTTCATTTCAGGTTTTATCAATTATTCCTAGATTATAAATCATATTCCATTCCCCCAAAACTATTTGGTTCCCTGTAACATCCATCATCCATACCCACAGCTCAAATCACATTAATCTTGATCACAACAGGTTCACATGCACTTTTGTTGTTTACACTCTACAGGAGAAAAGGTACAAGAACTTTTACCTATCAAATCATAATTTTTATAATACCACAAAGCTCCCATCTTCAAGGTGGTCCAGAACTTATCTAAAGGGTAGAATTCCCCAATGAAAATCACTAGCAGTTAGAAAAACTTTCTTTTCCTCCTCTTCTAAGACTTCTATAACATGGCTTTGTTTTACCTAAAGCTTACAGTTCTCTTCCAATTTCCACTGGCAGCTTGCAATAATAACAAACATCCTAAAGATACCTAATAATGTACTCAGGGTGAAACAATCCGAATGAAATGACACTCTGAAACTCCTCTACACATAATTCAAGTTAATCTAACTTCCTCAGTTACCCTAACTAGAATTGCTCATTGAAGAGGGTGTTGGTTATTATATTCAATTCCTACTTTAATTGGACTCATCAAAAAAATTCCTACTTTAATTGGACATCATAGTGTTCTTTACCTGTCACATACTCTGATCATATAATTTTGAGAGTATAATTGTGACAAGCAAGTAGTCAAAACACGAATTCATTACAGAGAATTGCATATAAAAGATAATAGAATTACATATAAATGATTAAAAAGACAAATAATTGCTTAATAATTTCAACAACCCAAGAAAAATATATAAACTTAATTAAGAAAATTGAAGCCCCAACACAAAATTAAAAAAATATATTTATATTAAACAAAGTGCAATTTAAAACCCCAAATATAGAAGCCTAGGCTTTTAATATAGAGACATACTGAACTCGGAGAAGAAGAGCAAGAGCATGATGATGGAGGAGACGAGGGTGATAACACCACCGGAGAGAGTTCGGTTGAAGAAATCTTCATTGATTTTAGGGTACGCATCCAAGTTCCGCAGCCTGTTCAACACTTTGTCCATGTCCACCACACACAATCGGAGCTCAACCCCAATTCGGAATATATCTATATAATTTATATAAACATGAAAACGAGAACCTCTCTCTCCCTCTTTCTCTCTCTATATATATATCGATCTTTCTCTCTCTAGCAGAGCCGGCGCCTAAAAAGAAGAGAGAGAGAGCGGAGGGGTTTGCCGGGGAACAAAAGGTCTCTGCTGACTTCTAAGTTGTTTGGGAGTCGAAGATTTTGGTTTTAATTTCAATTTGGTTTGTTTTTTGGATTCGTTGGACAATCCGAGGGATTTGAGAACAAGTACTATTTATGGTATAGTAAATATAAATTTTTTTTTTACATGCAGTAATATAGATGATCTTTGGGTCAGCTTGTGGTCTAATTGTCAACGGTGCTACGTTCAGAAGGCAACTATTGGAAAGGACGATAGCGAGTGCTGCCAATAAGGGAATGAGCAATTATGGAAGAATCTAGTGAAAATTGAATGGACCATGTAATATGGCAATATGTTGTATTTAAGGTAAAACAACCAATTCAAACCTCAAATTATGCAAATTTTGAGAATGATTTGTGTCACTAGATTGAGATATTTTTAAATAATTTGTAAAAAGTATGAATTATTTAATAATATCTAGGGTTAATTACATTCACACCTCTTGAGGTTTGTCCTATTGACAGCGAGACGATATTGACAGCGAGACGAAAGTTAGCATATTAATTAATAATGACACCCCTTAAGTTTGCTCTGTTTAACAAAGACACCCCACACATGATAAAATGATTAAAATGCCCTTTGACTTGTCAATTAAACTATTGAAATGTTAAAATTACCGATTTAGCCTTCTAACTAATTTTAATTAACTAAGCTAACATTTCATCACTAGACAGAATATACCTATGTCTGATATACATATATATATATATATATATATATATATATAGATATATAGATAGGTAGGAAGAGAATGGGAGAAGATGAGAGGAACAAGAATAGGGTGGCGGCACACCACCACAGCCACAATCCCCATTGCCACCTCCACCAACGCCTCTCTTTACCCTCTAACCTTCACAGCCCTGCCACACCCAATCCCACCACACTCCACAGTCCTACCACTCCCACCACCACTACCACCACTTCACACCCCCATCACACCGCCCCACCAACACCACTCCACAGCCCCACCACACTCCATCACCACCACTTCATTTTACACGATTCCTGCATCTCTGATATCGTAGAATTCAACTTTACCTTCACAACCCCACCACCACCAAGCCCTAGCCGAATTAGGGTTTTAGTTCCCCCAAATGCAACACCGACTAGTCTGATCGATTCATCGGGGTTCTGATGAGGACAGACAGTGCTTTGTTTGACTCCTCTGGTCGTATGCCTAGAACTGCCAATTTGCCCTAACATATTCCGTGACCTCGCCGCCAACGGGGGAATTCCGGTGAGGGTGAACGGCTACGACACGCGATGGTTAGGCTCGGAGTGCGCAAAGGAGGTGGTAAGAGGATCAGAGAAGAAGAGGGATTTGATGCGTGTACCAGTACGGAGAGATTGTTGACGAGCTTGACGAAGATGGGTTTAGTGTGGTGTGTATATTATATATATATATATATATATATATATATGATTGAACCAAGTTCAATTCATTTATGGAAACTGGAAAGTAAAAAAAAACAAATATATGGTTTATATTGTGGTAGCAATGGTGGGTGGTGGCGGTGATGGTGGATGTTGCAGTGATAATGGTGAGATTCTAATGAAGGTGAGGGTAGAGAGAGGGTTAGAAAATTCTGGGTTTTGGAGGAGATGGAAGAGAGAGAAACCTATGGTTAATAAGGGTAAAATTGGCATTTAAATTTTTTGATATTTTAGATTAAAGTTTAATATTTTATGGAAGGGCAATTTCGTATTTTCTTAACTTTTTAGGGCTTGTTTGGATCAAATTTCTGACAAGGGGTGTGAGTGTTCAAAAATGACCCAACTTTCATCTGATTGTCAATATGATAAACCTCAAGGGGTGTCACTATAATTAGCCCTAATATCTATGTGAATAAATAGGGAAAGCTCTGATTTTTGTAGTAAGCAAGTTCTCTTGATAGCCTCGCTCAACTAAATATACAGTGTAACTTTAACGAATTTAAAAATACAAATATGTAAGTAAATTTGAGAATTAAGAGGTACAAAAAAAAGTGAGTAGTCTGGCTATTTAAGCTCAATTATTTATAATGTAGGAGAAATCGGAGATGGCGCTAATCATGAAATCATTACGAGTTTAATTAGAAATGATCATATTCGAGAAATGAATGGAGTAACACAAATTAGAGATAAATTTAGAGAAAATCGGTTTAGATGATTTGCACATTTGCAAAGTATACCATGTTAAGTGCTCCAGTTATGAAAAATGACATAATCTACATTAAAAGCAATATTATAAGAAGAGGAAGACCAAAATTAATGAAGAGAAGAGGAAGACCAAAGTTAATGAAGAGAAGAGTTAGTAAGGAAGAATATGATAGCATATGGATTGATTGAAATTATGGCCTTAAATAGAGCGGAATGACAACATAAGATTTTATGTAACGGACCCCAATTAGTTCGAAAAGGCTTGGTTGTTGGTTGTTGTTATTATATTCTTGTTTAGTTGGAATGAATGGTTAAGAAAGGATGGAAGGGAAGAATGATGAAGAAGTTTTCATCGTTTGGTTGGAAGGAAGGAAGGAAAGAAAGGGGGGAAGAAATGAGGCATGAAGTATCCCTCCTATTCAATATTTTTTTTATCCGTCCAAATTTGGGTAAAAAAAAGGAGGAAAAAAAAAAAAAACCTACCCGATAAAAAAATGTAATACTAATTTTAACAAACAAAAATTTTACAAAATCACTTTATTAAACACCCTACTGAAATTCTCACATAATGTGGTTATGTTGGTAACAATAATATAAAAACTCCCATTTTTTTCCTTCCAACCAAAAAAATGGCGCCATCACATTCATCATTTATATTATCCCTCCTATTTAACCAAACAAAAAGTGAGGAAAACACCTTCTACTCTCTTAGGATGCATCATCCATCATTTCCTCTATCCTTATAACGACCCAAATTTGCTGGATCCGAATCGCTAACTGGGTCATTACCCGAACCCGATGACATGCAAGGGTACAATGGTCATTCCACATTAAATTAATACTTTAAGGCCCAACAAGGGCAAAATGGTCATTTAACACGATTATAATGGTTTAAGACCTAAAAAGGGTAAAATAGTCATTTGCTAAGGTCATACAATGATTAGGATGAAGTCCGGTGAATAATTCAATCATTTCTATCTCTAAAATATTATTATTACATCATACTATGCCCAATGGTACATTCTAGGGTCACTAAATGGGTAACAAGGGCAAAACTGGAAAATGAACAAGTAAGGAGAGAGTAGTAGGACTTGGTCGATGCCTGGCTTCCCACACGTCGACCGAGTTTAGTGAAATGGTCAACGTAAACCCTTTTCACGTCGACCTATTATGCCGAGTACAATAGAAAAGCCTATTGTCCAAAATATTGAGATACTGGTCGAGGGTACTTACACGTCGATCGAAACTTTACGGACATGTAAGATTAGCCTCTTTGATTGCTCAATCAATTTGTACTCAACCACTCCACAACATTACCACTAAAAACACAACTGAAATACCATTAAATACACCACTGAAATACCACTAAAAATACCATAGAATGTGTGTGTATATATATATACTTACATGAAAACACTCCCAATTAATTCCTTTACTCTTACACACTTAAACAAAAACAACGTTAATACAATTAAAGGTTTATCCACGTGTATGAAATACACCATCTACATCCATACATGAATATTTAATAAAATTAAATCCATTTTCTTTCTCAAAATATACAAGAAACATGTCCAAAAGAATATATCTACAATGGCAAGGTCTTTGTGGGCAAAAATACTTTGTTTGCACATGTAATTAACATAAAAGCCCCCTTTTAAAATTTAAATCCATGTAACAACCTCCTCTCATACATTCTTAAAATCGTTTAAAAACATTCATGTCCATTTATACTCCAAATAATAATATGCTTGACAATTTACATTATCAAAATAATATATTTACATTTCCATTGAATGCTTACAAGTTTTACAATTTATACCAAAGTTTTTACTAAAATAATGAAATAAATTCTACGTCTAAGCTCAAAAGGATGCATTATCCACCACTTCACCTTCAAATCCTGAAAATGTTTAAAAGAAAAATTGGTAAGCACCACCGCTCAGTATAGTATGCCTAAGGCATGGCTCATAAAGCCCCGTGGGCAAACACATAGAGAAGCGAGGTCAAGATAAGGGGATTATGCTCTTTGGTGTGTGTCAAGCACTAATTGCAATAAAAGCGTGTGTAGTGTGGCCAAGTTTGAATTTATAGAATGTCACTACCACTACTAACTAAAATATAGCAAGAGTGAGTAAAGATTGTCCCAAGGGAAAGGAGTCGTGTTTTGGAATCAATTGTTAGATTAGTAGGTCGAATGATCAAAAGAGGGGTTTGATTTGATTAAACTAAGTCTAATTAAAAACAATGCAATTATCAATCTAGAAATTAGAGGGAAAATAAATTAGAGAGAGGTCTTGGGGCTTAAAGTTTACCACTAAGCTTCACTTCACCAAATACTATCAATTGTAAATTAATGGGGACATTTAAGTTACAAAATATGTGTGTGTGTGTCACTAATTGAAAACTAAGCATGGATGACAAATAAGCATAGATTGTCTAGTCAATCTAGTGAATAACACAACCTATCAAATGAGACCATAACCCATTCAATTAAACCACAATTAGAAGACACACAATAATCCAGAGAAATGTACTCTTTGCATTCATAAGTATGGAACATCAAGAAACAAGAATGGATTGTCCACCTATCTAAGAAATTAAAGTAATTACGCTACATCTAGGCTAGAGACATGAGAATTAAACTAATTAAACTAAAGGTGTGGTACAATCCATCAAGAAACAAGTGTGAACCATCAAATAATCACAAGAGTATTCAATTAAGCATTATGTTTTGACCATCACTAGATTACCAATATCAATACACATAGACGTGCATTAATTTCATTAAATCTAGAGAAAAACACATGAATATCCATTCTAGAATATATATACATATGGATAGAAATAAATGATCAATTGAAAGCATTAATCCATACAAATCAAGTAGAAATCACAAGATCTATAATAAATCAAGATCA